ATACGGTAAGAGCAAAGCTGGCTGAGTGAATGAACTGGCTCCAGGCAACGGACGACACTCATTAATTTTCAGCTAACGGGGCAACAGTTAGAAACAGAGGCAGGTGGAGCGCCAGAGATGAACGCAGATGGAAATCTTCGCCTTCAACCTTATCCACACAAATTCCAGCGGGAGGGGAAAAAATGTTTAATTACAGGCTAAAGCGCTGAACAGACGGCAACAACTCGCATATTGACCCAGCCAAGCGAAACGTGTCGAGTACGGTTAACTAACTGAAAAAGCAATGAACCTACCGTGTCGCAAACCCTTTGACGTAGCCAAGGACCAACAAAGGGACAGGTTGATGGAAAGATAGCAAATGCCATTAGGATTCCGTTCTACATGTGTTGAATGTGCATGACTTTCACATACGTAGCTCACACATGGGTGCTGACATGCTCTCGCTGCTGGTCAAGGGGGCTAAGCAGTTGGAGCTATCCACTCATATGTACATCGTTCGATGGTCGACCTCTGCTCTTGACTTCTCTACTTTGATGAAATTAAATCTGAAATGCTATAAGCTGGGTACGGCTTGTGCTTTGTGCCTGAATAGCCTAATTCAGTCAGGCGGTGTCTGTATGCTGTTTGTATACCCTGCATCCACAAAACTGCGTAAATCGTAGTAAATCAAACTAATGCAAGCTCTTGTGAACCTGGCTTAAAAATAAATAATGATTTAAAAAATTAGTTTGAGTTTGTTGGTAACAAAAAGGAAGTCATATTTAACCATATGTGTATTTGTCTCTATATTATGCATAACTTGTAAAAATTAGAAAAAAAAGGGGTGTATTACATACAGTAAATTTGCTGTAATGGGTAAAAGTTTCCAAAGCTCTGTTTTACTATTCACATTTGATGTCAATGCATAGATTTCAATCTCCTGTGCTGGCTAAATTATTACAAAGGCTTTAACGTTCTAGGCCTTCAACGAGTACTCCTTTCTAAAGTACAATAGTTATAGTAATAGCTTTGATTTACATTATACATATAGGAATTACCCATATGTTCTAATTTCTTTTGTCTTGAGTTGAAAACAAAATATCATAAGATTTTAGCTGTAGCATAAGATTTTATATGTATATATACCGTATATTTCAGAACTGACTGAACAATATCTTCTAAATATTGTTTTCGTTTTCCTGCCCATTTCTCTCTGTTAAATAGACAGCGCCAAGCAGCAATTACACAATTTGGGTTTTTGGATCTTGACAGCTACTTGGAAACATCAATACAACCTATATAAAAACGATTGCGAGGTCAGTGCGTTTGTAACGACGGAAATAGTTTCTCTTTTATATTTTTTTGCTCGCCTAAAGTAGGGCAGTGGATGCTGTAAGGTGCATCATTATCTTCGCATTTCTGCTTGGGAGACATTAGCTGATTGGGGTTCAAAACAAGAATATAGTATTCATAAAGCTTGCACGTAATCTTAAACATGATCTACTCAAAATAATGTTATACAAAAAAATAATCAAGTAACATTTCACACAATTTCTAATTGAATTGATAGCAACAAGAAGAGCAAACGTTATTTGTCTTGTAGATGCGCATTTGAAGATAAATTTGCTGTGTGCTTAACTCTTGTGACACAATTAAAAAAAGTAAATTTGTATACAAGTACATCGGACATTCCAAATAAATAGTACTGCTTGACAGTAAAAGCAGCGGCTACGGTTGCAGCTTTAGGGTAAAACACTTTGGTAATTGCTAGCTTATGCCCTTCTTCGGAGCTCTCATTCAAATAGCGCTGTCAAAGTCTGTGTCGTTATGGGTGGGCGCACGTATCCGGACTGGTGATGGAAGCGTGGAGAGCGGGGTGGTAGTTTAAGCCCGGCTAGCAAGTATTACGATTATGCACAAAAGCTGCTCTGTCAAGCTAAATATGAAGCATCGCAAAAATGAAACAAATGTAAAATGCGATGGTAAAAGGTACATATGTATGTAAGGTATATAAGCACGCAGGTTGGATCATTCCTCCTCCTCTCCTTCTGTACTTCCATCATCGTTCTTTCCATCTTATTCCTAATCACATTCCGTATCTCGTTAGGAGATGTCAACTGTCTGTGTGTCACTGTCCTGGGGCCAGTGAACAGACTTGGCAAAAAAGGTTCCACTATGCAGCTTTAACATAATTAAACGCATTTCAAAGATGAAGATGTCGTCCGGTAAGAAGGTTGCTGCTCCCTGCTGAGTCATGGCTCCCCTCCTTCTTAAATATATAAATGTATATGTTTGTCTAAGGTGTGGTAATGGCGCCTACGACACCCGCTAGCCCTGCCGCACTCCATTGATGATGAAGCTGATTATGTGACCCGATGATGAAGATGAAGTGCGCCTGTTTTATCAATATTACGTATTCGCAGGGTCTGCAGCTTAAAAAGATTTGTGCGGCACTTCGGGCATCTCAAGCATTTCATTTAAGTTATTTAGATGGCTGCGAGCCGCAATTCGGTCGGTGGCTTTGTGCTGGCATTTTTCTTTGGTGTGGTAGGTGCAAACATATTTGTTTGTCTTACGGTCACATGGTCAGCACTATTGTTGTTATTGTTTTGTTGTTGCTGGACGTAAATTATGCAGACATTTAGCTGAAGTTCAGAGCGCTTCGGATGTTGATTATGTGTCGCTTGGCTCTGGACAACGTCACATTACGTGTACGAGGCGTGCACACGCTTAACTACACATTTGATTTTGCTGCTACAGCTGCCTTGTTGTTGTTCTGAATGTCCTTGTTGTTGTTGTTTATCAACATGACCAGAATGTGTATGTTGCTTGTGGCGAAAGCGAGGCGTTGCGATATTCCTAGTTGCTGCTGTTGTAGTTTAGCCGCCTGCGGGCATTGTTGATAACTCTGATGACGTTGATGAAAAACTTTTGATTGATGTGGTGGCAAAAACTTTATGCTGTCATTAGGCGCAAGCAAATCAGAGCGAAAGAGAGATAACGAGAATGAGGGCGGAAAAGGGTTTGTTTGGCACATATACATAAAAATATGTAGGGCGTTTTATTTACCGCCAGCCATGCTATAAAAGATCTGAAGTTGTTGGCGTAACAACTGACAGTCGGCAAAGTTGTTTACGTCAATTGAGCGACTAAAAGTTTAGCTTATTAATTAATTGAAGGTTCGTGCGAACGTTAGAAGCATTTAGCATGCGTTTGCTTTCTACCGTGCATTGTGTGATGCAGGTTTGCCAATGTCAAAAATGCTGAATGAAAATGAGTTGCATGCATTGCATTGACAGCTACATTATTTATTAATTCTACATTTTACAAATTGAAAATGTCTCTGTTCAGAGAGCATTCAATTTACAATTGAAATGTTGTCAAATACAAAACAAAAGCAATTAAGAGGTTAAACAGTTTTAAATTATTAAATAAGTTTCAAAAAATAACACGCATTGTGCTTAAGTATGTGTAGCATTTATTTTGAATGTTTTAATAAATAGTCAAAACCATCAAGAAACTATTTTCCAGTAAACAAAAGTCCACATTTATAACAATTAAATACCCCCAAGTGCATAATTAAGTCTTGATACATATTTAACTAAAACAGTTGGCAACGTCAGCATTTAGCCCTTCAGGCAGCCCTGCATATTCGGCACGTCGTTCCGAGTATATTCTGCTTTTTCTTATTTTTTTTTTTCCTTTTTTTTGCAGTTTCGGTTGTTAGTACTTTTCTACCTGTGGCATTGTCGTTCGCCGATTGTCGTTGCTGTTTTTAGTGTTCTTGTTGTGAAGCTCTCTTGGCGTGGCCATTTATTAAAACGTGCTGCAAGCAACAATGCCACACAATTTTCTTGTTGCTCTTTGGCGTTGCTGTTGCCTTTTCCTCGCTCGTCGCTGTGCACTTTTCAAACTTTTCTCGTTATTTTTGCACATTCGTTTGCTTTTTATGGGCACTGCTACACTAATTACCTTGTTTTTCGGAGAATTAACTTTTCGATTACTGTTGCTGCAGCAACAACAACATCTAAATAGTACACACGAAGAACTCACAAGTGCAGGTTGCAAAAAGTTTGAAGCTATCGATGTAAAATGGCAAGCATGGCAAAAAAAAAAAAACGTGAAAAAATGAACACACTTCAGAACCAAATTGTGTGTTGCCGTTTGCTGAGTTTGCTTAAATGAACTTCAGACAAGCTTTAGAAAATTATGAAAATATGCTAAAAGCAGCACATCCGATACAGCATTGCACTAGGCAGTTTGTATCGAGGCGCAGACAAGTGAAGTGGAAAAAGTTATAACCTACTGCAGAAAGTTGCAAAAATCGGCTATCGGAATACAGCTTGTAGCATGTCCCGGTTGGGTGCAGGTTGAAGACATGCCAACCTACCGAGGCTGCTGTAATTGGGTACCCAGTTGAGTTCTTGTTGCCCTTGTAGTTGAGAGCCTTGCCTTTGCCCTCTAGTTGACAGCCTCAAAATGCAGACTTGACTTGTTGGTCGTGTTTGGCATGGCGGCTCCGTTAGTTAATTAGTCAGATTTCCGTAAAGTCTCCGATTTTTATTTGATTTATATCTATATCAAGATAAATATTTAAAGATTTTAAATTATTTTAAGCTAAAAGCAATGTGGAAAAAATTTCGAAAGATAACATATGAAACGATGTGAATAAGAAACCGGGCTATAACTATAGTTAATCAAAAAATGTTGGCAATATTTGAAATGTTGGAATACATTATTAATTTTTTTTTAAGATATGTGTAGCTCCTAAAATATGTTTTAAATCGAATTTCCAGCGACCCTCCATCTATGTTCACACAAAACTCATCCTACAGCGTTTGTTAGTTGAAATAGCAAGACAAAGGTTTCATTGAGAGAACAAATAACGCCTAATATTTTCTTTACTTCAGTACATGAAATTATTAAATAATTAAAATTGTTAAAGTTGAATTTAAAATCTTAATATAACATTGTTGGTATGAGTTACATTAAATCCAAAAATTTATTTTCTTTGCTTTCAGAAATTGTATTTAACTGCAAGCATGACGTGCTCTAAAGGTATGTAAATGGGACTTATTTTTAAATTGAACTGAGTTGTGTAACATGCTTTGAAGTTTTTAGAAGCTATAAATAGTTTTCTTTAGCTGTTTCCTTAACGATTAATGAAGATCTTAAACTGGTGTACTGGTGTAAGAATTGATTCAGTCAATTACGCAGCAGTTTTAAGTTGATTTTTTGCAACTAGCCAACTAAACTGGCCGTTAACTCTGCAGTTAGTGCAAAAATGTGTGCATTTTGCAATATAATTGCAATTCATTTTTCTCCAAGAAGCTTACATTATCCAGGGCTGTCCATAACATTTTGTTGCACAGCCGTCGCTAATCTTGGCCGACTAGTTGGCGTCCTCGTCTCTGACTCTGGCTCGGGTTCGGTCTCTGTAACTGTTTAAATGTCAGTTAAAATCCCATAAATTCTCCTTAAATGACTTCTGTCTGCCGCAATTTTGTTGCCATTCCCTGGCAACAGCGTTGGCTCAAGGAAAACGGCTAAGACAGTCCAAGCTAAAAAAAGAATTGCTGTGAATCTGGAACTGAAACTGAAGCAAGGGCTGAATTAACTATTAGGGGAAATCACAAAATCCTTTGTCGTAAGTAAAATTTCATTTTTCTTCTTTTTGCCGGAAGATAAGAATATTTCCTGTTGTCCCGCTGCCAAGAGTCACCGTCGCTCTTGCCACTTGTGAGTGCAACGTCGGTACCCGCAAGCGTTTTGTAGCAAAATGACAAATATATATATATATATATATATATATATATATATATATATATATATATATATATAAACAGAACATGCCAATGGGCGCTGGACAATGCCAGAAAATGGTTGCCAACTTTACTGAAAGCTGGTAAATGACGCAAGCTCGCAACTTGTGCAATTGGTTCAATAAACTCATTAAATGCGCCCAACTTTTTGCAATTTTTTCGTACGGCGTGAACTTTTCTGGTTCGCACAAAAATGGCGGTCATTCGGTCGCCTTGGCTCGTTTTCAACTTGTCGCATTATCCTTTTTATTGTTGTCGACATTGCATCGCATTATCCTTGGACATTTGTTTCTTCCTTCCACTCTTTTTTGCGAGAATTTCCAAAACTCCCTTGAAAATTTTCAATTTTTGCGCTAGAGAAGAAAAAAACAACGACAAATTAAAAGAAGTAAAAAAACTACTTTAGAAAGTTATACAAAATTGCCTTTTAAAGCTGCCTAAGTATATCTAACGAGTCAGCGAATACGCATTAAAATTAAGCATTATGAGCGACGACTTTATTACTTAAAAGTCTAATTATTGTTTTTAAATATACATATTTCTATATTTACATATATTCTCTATTAATATATATATATATATTCTCTATTAATATACATATATATATATTTATATATATATCTAAAAAGGATAAAAAGTCGGTACATAAATATAAAGCAATATTAGGTCTTTGTAAATATAATTTTGAATAAATATGAAATTATCTTTAATTTACAAAAATAAATACTTTTGAACAAATCGAGCGATGAGATCTTGCAAAAGCGTATGCAGTATTCGACAGGAATATCTCCTTCCCCCTATGTATTGTTTTATTTTCTTCGGTCGTTTAGATTTCGGCCATAAAAGCCATTTAACTTATTTGCCTCTAAGCCTTGAGCCTTGTTGTTGTCCTTCTGCCAAGCCGCGACAAACAATAAATTTTGTGAAAATTTGGCCACATTTTAATTTGTGGCTCAACGGCAAAACCAAACCAGAACGAGAACGAAACGAACGAGCCCAGCAGCCTAACACCTTGGCTCTGGCATGGGACTAACCACAGAATTCATCGTTGCTGGTAACCCAGGAGTAAGCCGAGGAGAAACCACCGCGTTGCATTCCTCAAATTGCAGAAGGCAAACTGAGCATAAGAGGTTTGAGTACTGAATACGAAGTATGAGTAGTATCTCTGGCTGTGGTTTTTATATGTACACAAGCATACCCGTGTGTGCGTGTGTGTGTGTGTGTGTGTGTGCTTGTGGCCTGGCAAAAACGTGCAGCAAAATTGTCAATTTATTTTTTATGCCTTCTTTTCATTTTGCAGCAAATACCAGCAATAACAACAACAAAAAAAGCAGAGAAACCACAAAAGCAGCAGCGGGAGCAGCAGTTTCTGCTTCCTTCAAGGATGCCAATTTGTCAGTTGGCAGTTTTTGGTGGCATTGCAAAAATTCTTTATGAAAACTTTGTTTACGACAATCAACTCATGCCTGCCAGCCTGGCAGCCTGCCTGCTCTTGCTTCTGCTATGCTGCCTTGTATTGAGTTGACAATATTTTTAATAGAAACTCTCGACGCCCGAAAAACTTTTCACTTCGCAAATTTGCAGTCACTGCTGCATTGTGTCCCAATCCGGGCCATATTACAGAAGGGGAAAGCGGATGCAGCCGGGGGCTAAGGGCTGTTCTGTTTGTGTTTCAATTTGTGTGCCTTTTATGGAATTATGCACTTTTGTCAGCTTGCTGCAGTTTTCGCACAATTCAGTGCACAACTTCGGAAAAAAAATTGCAATTGAGTTTAACTTAGGGGAGAAACATAAAAAGGTTGCCAACAGTTTGTGTACTTCCCTTATCAGTTTGTTCCCTATTTATAGAATGGCTTATAGAAACGTAATAACTTTCAATGCAAGAGTATAGTAATGTGCCTTAAAAATCAGTTAAATTTAAAAGACAGGCTAAAAAATAGCAATTGTACTTTGAAAGATCTTAATGTATACTTTGCAAATGCAATAGATAACAATGAGTGCCATCAGAAGGTAGGAAGCAAGGAATTAAAAATGTGATATTTAACATTCAATCTAATTTTCTAATTTTTTGGCTTCAACGTCCTTAGATTAAGCAGATCAAGCTGGGGCAGAATTGAGTCGGAATATATACAGACGAAAATTTACCGCGTGTTCTGTTTGCCTTATTTCATGCAAATTATCACGTTTCAATGTGATTTGTATTTGGAGAATAAATGTATTTATATATCATATTTTTTAATTTCCTTTCATCCTCTCATTTATGTATAATATGGTTTCTTTTAAGCACAACGCCTATTATGGCTATTATTTAATTTAACATGATAATGAACTATTTATTTTAAATTCAGCGGTATAAAGCAATTAGTTTGTGTTTGGCTTAGTTTTAAAAAATTTAACTATTAAAAAACCAATTTGTATAAATTAGCCTAAGTAGCAATTAACTAATTTAAGTCAAATTAGTGAGTGAACAAAGTTTAACTACTCGCTTCACATAATGTCAGGCACTATTTCTAATAAAATTAAATGAATTAAAAATTCTAGTACTCACTGCACACTGCACACTGTAACCCGGCTGGACTTACGATTGCCATTAAAAGTGTTAGCTTCTGCTGCGAAATTTCACATTCGTTTACATTTTGCCATTAAGCGGAGTAGTCTGTGGCCCATCAATTTCTGTGAGTAAGCTAGCAGCTTTTGCCTGGCATTATCCTGGATGTCCTGGGCAATGCAATAAAAGTCGAATACGCGCGCACTTTGCAATTTCAATTTGCTTTCTGCTTGCTTCTGTTCTGGTTATTTGTGTTTGCCGCTCATTAAAAGCTGTCAATTGTTTCTCTTTGGCATTTACAGCCTGCTTAACTACCTTGAGAGTGTACGCTCTTGTAGTATTCCCTACCCCCATATATGCACTCAGTTAAAATCCTTTAAGTGCGCCATACCGCATAAAATAAAAATCCCATCTTAGTGGTTTCAAATTAAAGTTCTTCTCTGCACTTGTGCGACAATAAAACTTATCCAGTTTTTTTGTACTCCTCTTTGACAATTTGTAGTCGCACTCCTTGTGCCAATTTTATGGCCCACCTGCAGGCAACTACGTCCAGCATCACACCTATTGTGTGAAATTCCAGGCAGCCAAAGAGTGTGTAATAAAGCACAGATGATATATGCTCCGAAGGGTGATTACTGGGCTCGCTTCGGTTTTTTTTGGTTCGGCTGTGCCTGGAATCGGAAAATGCCATATTGTGGGTGGGTAACTTGGTCTAATTGCCCTAACGCAACCAGCTTTGCTTGGGATAGTTTTGGTATGTATAATACTGTTTGAATGAAATAAGTGAGAACCGCACAATGAAAATAGTGATTTAAGTTAGCTTGGTATTGACTATAGAACTGAAAAATGTTAGATTGTATTTTTATATGCAACAAGATAAAATACAAAGTAAAGATTTGGAGTATACCTTTATAAGTAAAATAGGCTAGGTTATGTTTTAAACGGCTGTTCTCACTAAATTTGGGTGCTATAATGGGTGCTCGTAATAATCTATATATCATTTGATTATGTCAGTAAGCTAGCTTAGTCAAACTTTAAATAAGAAAATTTAAAAGAACACAATAGCATTTCTTCGTGTTGTTACACTATTCAAACACGCAATGTGATATAATACAACTTTGAAGAGCATCCTAAAAATCAAGCTTCGGTAAACCATAATATATTTAAATATCTCATGTTATAAGCTCTTGGCTTTTTGCTTCTAGCTTACAGTTTATTATACGAACCATACAGCTACTTTTCTGTTGCAGTTGTGGGCTTTTTCAGCCAAGCCGCACCACTGTCAAGTTCAACGCTCTGAGCTTCTAAAGAGCTCCTAAAGCTTCCTTACAGCTATAGCTAGTCGCACACCCACACACACGCACATTTTCTTAAGTATCCATAAAAGATATTAAACTTAAAGTTTACTATGTTAAAGTGGCAAAGAACTTGAGGTTAACCTAAAGTAATTTAAAACATGCCACTGTAGTAGCTTGTGTCTTCTGACAATCGTCGCATCCCGACTTCTGGGTGAACTACTTTGCGGCCAAAACTACAGACTGCAGCAGCAGCGAATGGCACAGGGACACCGGGACACATACTTGTTCATATGAGCAACTCAATAAATCAATATTTGAATGCCTGACGGGTTAAGGCTCCAAATGCAATTGTCTATAAAAAAAAGCTTTAGCACTCAAGCAAGCAACTTC